CAAATCGACTTTCTCTATCCCATAAATCAACGACTTCATTGTAAGGTCTAGGTAGGAAATATTGGTAAAAATTCACTTTTAAGTAGCAGATCTGTTCATCAAAAGGGAAATAAGTGATGTCCATTTTACAGCTTGCTCGAAGTATACCTGAACATAGGAAATCGTGCTCATCAGAGTATTTTTTTAAATTATTAGATAACTTACCAGGTGGTACCCAGTTAATTTCGCCTGTATTGTAGACTACCTCGTTGGATTTGTACGTAGAGTCAAAGTCTTCGTTAGCACTGTTGAATTAATAATGGACAGGGGATAAGACGAGAAATCACTAACTAATCTACGAAACAATCGTTCTTATTTTGCAACTTATCTGTTAACCATAGCTGGTAGGATTTTGAAAAGTAAGTGGCTATAGAATATATTTTGCTCAACTTATAAATAATGAATAATGAGGCAACATCTGTACAATTAGTAACTTGAAACTTTAAGTACCTGTTATAAAGTAAGACATCGGGCCTCCATATCTGATTCTCACCTCCTGCAAATCGTATGCTGGTGACATTATCGTATTTCAAGCGATCCCATGACAACCGATAGTCTATCCATATCTAATGATTCAAAATGGAAACTTTACAATGAAAATAATACTGAAACTCACGAATTTCAACCAAGCGTTTAACTCGATAATTTGGTTTTTGCCATCCTAAAGTACGCTATTTATAAACTTGAACTTTCCAAATAGGATCAGCGAAGAAAACCTACAAGGCCGACGATTTGCTGCAGAAACACCTTCATTTCCACCTTTAGGCTATCCTTAGGATTCCGCACAGGTCGCACTAGCTTGTTGTAACTGTTCAGTAGATCTCTAAAACTAGCAAAATCTACTGTGGATGAATTCAATGCTACGGCCTAATGAATCCCTCGTAAGACCCACCTATAAAGTCTGTTTTCAGCTTTACTCGCAAATGCGTAGCAGAAAGCACTTATCCCATAAAAAAAGATGCAAGTGCGCATCGATGTCGAAGCGGAATAACGAGACGAAACACTTGAATTTGTTTACCAAGGGATTTGATGGCTGCATTCGTTTCGGCAGAACAAACTTTATCATCTTTAAGCAGGCTGAAAGATAAGAAAAGCATGCTTTTGAGGATTAATAGAAATTTTTGTTTATAAGCGAATAAACAACTGATATTAGTTTCAAAAGCCATACTGCTTAGGTAGGGTTGGTTTTCAAATTTTAATGCCCCCATCAAACCTAAGCTGTTCTCAGTTTTCGGTAGATGGACTTGTGATTTTCGATTTCTTATGACAACCTAGTATGCTTGGATATCAGGTTACATTAAAACGCTTTGCTTCATGAACATCATATAAAACTATAAACTTAGGAGTTATTTAATCTCAATCTCATAATCGGAGAAGCTCCGAATCA